TGGATGAGCAGGGCGGGGGCGTGTGTGTGTGCGATGGATGAGCAGGGTGGGGGCAGGGGTGTGTGCGATGGATGAGCAGGGCGGGGGTGTGTGCGTGTGCGATGGATGAGCAGGGCGGGGGCGGGGGTGTGTGCGATGGATGAGCAGGGCGGGGGTGTGTGCGTGCAATGGATGAGCAGGGCGGGTGTGTGTGTGTGCGATGGATGAGCAGGATGGAGTTCGGAGATTACCACTTCCCCTTAGCCCCTTCCGTTGATGAATCATTGCTCCTCCATGTTGAACAATATTAGGAGGAATTCCTGACGATGGCAAGGGCACAAAACATACTCTGGGTGGGGGATTTCAATGTCCAACACCAAGAGTGGCTCAGCAGCAGCATTACTGATCGAGCTGGTTGGGTCCTAAAGGACATGGCTGCTAGACTGGGTCTGCGGCAGGTGGTGAGGGAACCAACAAGAGAGAAAAACATACTTGGCCTCATCTTTACCAATCCGCCAGCTGCAGATGCATCTAGCCATGACAGTATCAGTAAGAGTGACCATCGCACAGTCCTTGTGGAGACAAAGGCCCGCCTTCACTTTGAGACTAACTTCCATGAGAGTGTGCAGCAAATGGTGGTGGACAATGAACTGGAGGAGGAGGAGGCTTCACAAATATCCCCATCCTCAATGAGGGAAGAACCCAACACAACAGAGCAAAGGATAAGGCTGAAGCATTTGCAGCAACCTACAGCCAGAAGTGCCGAGTGGATGATCCATCTCAGCCTCCTCCAGTGATCCCCAATATTGTAGATACCCAGTCTTCAGCCAATTCAATTTGCTCCACGTGATATAGCTGTGGTGGTTGTCCAGCTTTCACCTCTTTCTGATCCTCTCCTAGGTCTCCTCTCTTGGGAGTGGCCATGAACACGTGCTGGATGCGATCTCCCTGTGTGAGCAGTATGTGAAGAGGCAAGGTGGGCACGAACGCCATGCACCATGGCACCTCCTTTATCGAAAAGAGATCTTCACTCCTTGGCACAACAGCAGTGAGGACCCCATCAGCACAGATCTCATCTACCAGCAGATCATCCGAGGGATCCAATTCGGGGAATATCACTGTGAGAAGGTGGGGAATCCAGTGGGATCTGTTTCACAAGTACTTATTGTTATGGCCTGTCCCCAGGTGAGGGGATATATTCTGGCCCCCTTCTTTTTTACCCAACCCCCTCAGCTGGCTCACTGTTTTATTCATTTGTGGGATGTGGGCATCATTGGCTGGGCCCAGCATTTATTGCCCGTTCCCTAGTTGCCCCTTGAGAAGGTGGTGGTGAGCTGCCTTCTTGAACCGCTGCAGTCCTCCTGTTGATCCACAATGCCCTTAGGGAGGGAATTCCAGGATCTTGGCCCAGCAACACCGAAGGAACGGCGATATATTTCCAAGTCAGGATGGTGAGTGGCTTGGAGGGGAACTAGCAGGGGGTGATGCCCTTGTCCCTCTATATAGAAGTGTTTGTGGATTTGGAAGGTGCTGATATTTGATATTTTCTGCAGTGCATCTTGTAGATAGTACACGCTGCTGCTACTGAGCGTTGGTGGTGGAGGGAGTGGATGTTTGTGGATGTAATGCCAATCAAGCGGGCTGCTTTGACCTGGAGGGTGTCAAGCTTCTTGAGTGTTGTTGGGGCTGTGCTCATCCAGGCAAGTGGGGAGTATTCCATCACATTCCTTGTAGATGGTGGACAAGCTCTGGGGAGTCAGGAGATGAGTTATTCACTTCAGTATTCCTAGCCTTTGGTCAAGAAAACCCCTGGGATGTTGATAGTGGGGGATTCAGTGATGGTAACATCATTGAATGTCAAGGAGTGATGGTTAGATTGTCCCTTATTGGTGATGGTCATAGCCTGGCATTTGTGTGGCGCGAATGCCACTTGCCACTTGTCAGCCCAAGCCTGGATATTGTCCAGATCTTGTTGCATGTGAACATGGAATGCTTCAGTATCTGAGGAGTCAGGAATGGTGCTGAACATTGTGCAATCATCGGCGAACATCCCCACTTCTGACCCTATGACGGAGGGAAGGTCATTGATGAAGCAGCTGAGAATGATTGGGCCTAGGACACTACCCTGAGGAACTCCTGTAGAGACGTCCTGGAGCTGAGATGACTGACCCCCAATGACCACAACTTTCTACCTTTGTGACAGGCATGACTGCAACCAGCAGAAAGTTGGCTCCTTGATACCCATTGATTCTAGTTTTGAAAGGAATCCCCTTCTTTATGGATACCTTTCTCCCAGACCCAAATGACATCATGGTTTATAAGGAGCAAATGTAACCAGGCTTTATTGAATTAACTGAAGAGTGAGTTTATTACATGCACAGCACAGGAACACATAGTCATGGAACATGTATAAGAAGTAATAAAAGTCTTTGAGTAGATTGTGAAGAGTTAGTAATAGAACATTAACACCACTACATTGGATGATACCACTCTTAGTTGAGAAGTTGATTTGGAGATTCTTGCCTTCATTAGATTTCTCTTCCCACTGAGTCTGGTTGGCAGTAACTCAGAGTGAGGCATTTCTCTTTGTTAACTGCAGTGCAGGGGTGTTTAAAGGCTGTTCCCAAGCTGTATCTTTCATAGTCCATTAGACCATACACTAGCCCATCAGGCTAGTAGCACATGCACAGATCTGTAGTCCTTGTTGATTTTTTAACACCTTTTTGTGTCTATCCCAGAAAGGTAAAATACCAACATGTCTACAGGCCATGGCTTCCTGCTGAGAGAGAGTGGGTATTCAACATCTTGTTATCTCTTCCTTTGGTCTATTTGTTTGGAGTTTCCTTGTGCTGCATGGGTGTTGGAGACCAATTCTTTTCAGAATTTCTTTTCTCCTTCTCACTCCCATCAGGTTTCTCATTCTTGCTGATACAGATGGGTCTCTTGTGCTAGGCCTTCAGGGAGCATTCTTCAATTATGATTCTATAGGCCGTGAGCGTCTGCAAGATATTCGACTGTGGAGGCCATCACAACAGAGCCCATTCCAAAGGAGATCACTTTTCCACTACTCCCCTTTTTTGGCTATATTTAACTTTGGAAACTTGGGAAATGGAGTCTTGACCTTTGGGAAAGTGGGTCTTTGTGTTTGGGAAATGCAGACCCCCAAAGACTGGGAAACATGGTCCTGGAGTCTGGGAAGCGCAGCACTGAAATCGGGGAAATGCAATCTGGAAGTCTGGGAAACGCGGTCCCAAAGTTAGGATAATACATTCCTGAAATTTGGGAAACATGGTCTGGAGTTCTGGGGAAGGTGGGACTGATGTCACATGGCGAGACTGTTTTGGGTTGATCATGGTCTGTTCAGAGTGGGGTATTTCCCAAGTGGGGTAATATGCTGTCCCTATGAATCCAACAGGAGGAAGAGCTGGTGGAAATTGCTGCTAAACATTACTGCATGAAATTTGGAGCAAGTTCTGACCCTAATAAAGCCCTGGAAGTCGTCAATGACTGTATCCCTGAAAAACTCCGCAAGGACAAACCCCCTGAGAAATGGTGCCAGCTGATCACAGGAAAAGTCAAGGTATGTGAGCCACTCCATTGGCCAAACTGTGTGAGTGAAGTCCAGGGAGACAACAGGGGGATTGCTAAACAGCGAAAAGTTACAGATTGCCGTCGAGATTAACCCCATCTCAATGACTGGTGCTGTCATTGTGAGCTATTGGAGGTCAGTCCTCCTAGCCTCAGCACTCTCCCTGGCCAGGGGATGTGGAAGGACCGAAAGGTCAAGCCCTCTGAATGGTCAGGTCAAAGGTCACACACATTCCTTCCCACTGACCCTTTCACTCTGGAAGGGACAGGCTCCAGGTAAGAGGCAAAAAACTATTGTTCCAGTCAAGTAGCACCTTAGCTGAGCTTCAACGTGTTCCACAAATAATCAAAATGTGCTACGCTCCGAATCCCAGTCACAGAAGAGGCCCTTCAGCCCATCAAGTCTACACTGACAATAACTACCACCAAAGTTATACTAATCACAATTTCCTGCCACTTGTCCCATATCCTTGAATATGATCATATTTAAGTGCTCGTCCAAATGTACTTTTTTAAAGGTGTGTCGACCAATCAGGATGAGGCCCAGAGAATCTATTTGTGATATTTGATCCCATTTTGGGAGCAGAGGCCTTTGTGCAGCACACACGTGGCACATCAGCTCACTGCTCTTGTCCTGGTGGAACGGTGATGCTCGAGGTCCTGATATATCGGGGAGTAATCATTCCATATCTATCCTTGCAAGCTCCTTCAGAAACCTATGATCAGAATCTTAATGAGATCAGCACAGACCCAACTTACTCAACCTCACATCATAAGAAAACACATTCATCCCAGAAACCAATTGAGTGAACCTTCACTCTACTACCTCCAGTGCAGGTATAACCTTCCTTAAACATGGAAGCCAAAACTGTGCACACTATTCTAGGTGTGGTCTCAACCAAGTCCTGAAAGATTGTACCAAGACTTATTTATTCCTATACTCCAACCCCTTTGCAATAAAGGGCAGCATGCCATTTGTCTTCCTAACTTCTTGCTGTATCTAATAGTTAACACTGTGTTCCTTGTTTGAGTACACCTAAGTCCCTCAGAACAGTGATGTGTGCCTGCCTTTTTCTGTTTTTCCATTCTTATGACCAAAGTGAATCACTTCACACTTCCCTACATTATAGATCGTCTGCCACTTTGATGTCTACTTATTTCGCCTTTTCATATCTCTTTGGAATCTCTTTGTGTCCTCCTCACAGCTTACATTCCCACTCAGCTCTATATCACCAGTAAATGTGGTCATTAATATTGATGACAAATAGCTGAGGCTAACCCTCTGCCCATTCTATTACATAACCCCAACCTGGCACAAGCCTTCCTCTTGCATATCAACCTGTTGTTTACACCTTACCCACGGATCCTGTATTGAATGGGCCAACTTATTCACCCTGCTAGTTGCATCCTCAAAGAAAGCTCTAATGAATTTGTTAAACAGGATTTCCCTTTCACAATACCACATTGATTTGTCCTCATCATACTGTGGCATTCTAAATGTGTTGCCGAGACTTCCTAAGTAATAGATTCTAACACTTATCTCACTAACAGATATTTGGCCTAAGATTCCCTGTCACTCTCTCTTGCTCCTCGTTTGAATAATGGGGATACATTTGCCAAGCTCAAAGTCTCCGGGACTAGTCCAGAACCTAAGAAATTTTAGTAAAAAATCCTAGCAAATTCATCCACTACCTCCGCAGCTACGTCCTTTAGAACCGCTGGATGAAAACCAAGTTTCACACAACTTGTTTCGAATTAGACAGCGAAAGATGTTCAGAGATTTACAGGTGTTTATTGTAAATCTGTAGTTTAACACAAACATCAGTTTCCCTTCGAGATCCTTTTATTATCCAGAAGCCAGCTCCCCACTGGCGAAGAACACAGCTCTATTCTTATTCATAAAATAAAATAAATTATCAATGACCAAAAGGGAGAAACAGAAAGGTCAAAATCTCATCAGAGGGGGAAGTGACAGACCCCAGCCCATTGCAGTGCCTGTCTGTCTAGAAGGATAACAGTGTGATACAGTGTGCTCCCTCTCTAAGGACACCCGGGTATTGATGTCGCTGTGAAAGGGGGGCAGTCGGCTGGGAGTTACAAACCCCCCTCCAGAGCACTGCTGCCTACACCTGTCAATGGTTACTTTAGCCATGTTCGTGAGGACCTGCCTCTCCCTAAACTGGGTGACCGAGGATCAGGAAAGTGTGGGACTTATGTGCAAATAAAAGAACAATAAAAAGAGGAGTGCAAACATCTTAACAACTGGGATGTAAAGGATCCTTGGGCCCGACAGTTGGTCTGGGAGTCCCATAAACCACTACAAGTTGCAGTTGTAAGGGACTGCTGCATGTAACACCCTCCAGCCCAGGTCACCAATGGTGAATCCACTCTGTTTTTAATAAATGGAGCCACCAGCTAATTACCAAATCGACACGGTTAATGATATAATCACCAGGGGTTGCACATTCATGACTAAATCAAAACCGGGTAAACAAAGGAGGGGGACCACTTTAAAATGGTGTTGGTAGGTGGAGCGGGATAGATAATGCTCTCCAGACTCTGTGGGGCACACTTCACTATAAATATTTTGAGGATACTAGTGGAGACTGTGTGTTCTGTCTCTGGGCACAGACATAACCACAAAGAACCCAGCTCTTTCTCTCTTTAACAAAAAAAATGAACCCATTAACAGCCCACTAGAGGCACAGTAACATAAGCCACAATTTACCTGCCCCCATACCTCCTCCCTCACCCCCATCCCAGGCCCCAAGAAGACTTTCCACATCAAGCAGATGTTCACCTGCACATCTGCCAATGTGGTATACTGCATCCGCTGTACCCGGTGTGGCTTCCTCTACATCGGGGAAACCAAGCGGAGACTCGGGGACCGCTTTGCAGAACACCTACGCTCGGTTCGCAACAAACAACTGCACCTCCCAGTCGCGAACCATTTCAACTCCCCCTCCCATTCCTCAGACGACATGTCCATCCTGGGCCTCCTGCAGTGCCACAACGATGCCACCCGAAGGTTGCAGGAACAGCAACTCATATTCCGCTTGGGAACCCTGCAGCCCAATGGTATCAATGTGGATTTCACAAGTTTCAAAATCTCCCCTCCCCCCACCGCATCCCAAAACCAGTCCAACTCGTCCCTGCCTCCCTAACCTGTTCTTCCTCCCACCTATCCCCTCCTCCCACCCCAAGCCGCACCTCCATCTCCTACCGACCAACCTCATCCCGCCCCCTTGACCTGTCCGTCCTCCCTGGACTGACCTATCCCCTTCCTAACTCCCTACCTACACTCACCTTTCCTGGCCCCATCCCCGCCTCTTCGACCTGTTTGTTTCCTCTCCACCTATCCTCTCCTCTATCCCTCTTCTATCCGCCTCCCACTCTCTCCCTATTTATTTCAAAACCCCCTTCCCCTCCCCCTTTTCTGATGAAGGGTCTAGGCCCGAAACGTCAGCCTCTCTGCTCCTATGATGCTGCTTGGCCTGCTGTGTTCATCCAGCCCTGCACCTTGTTGTCTAGAAAATTCCTGGGTGTTTTGCTGGGGTAATAACGTCCTCAGCCTGATATGAACGAAGGATTACCTGCTGGATTAGCTGTCACTTTAAGACAGTCCCACTCAATCTTTATTGATGTGTGTGTTTTGTTCAAGGATTTGTTTGTCAGCGAGAAGCCCGATGCTCTCAATCTGAAAGAACATCTTGTCGATTTTGCTCGGATGAAATGGTCTCATATGTTCTCCAAGTTTTTTGAAGCTGCAATATTTTCAGGTACTGAGTGCAAGTGGGTTTGTACGTGTGTGTACGTGTCCTTGTCTGTGGTGTGTGTATTTCTGTGTGTGTGCATGTGTCTGTATGTGTTTGTGTGTGTGCACATGTTTCTCTGCATGTGTACATATGTCTGTGTGTGTCTGTATGTGTGTGTGTCTGTGTGTGTATGTGTCTGTGTCTCTGTGTGTGTGTGTGTGTGTGTGTGTGTATTGTGTCTATGTGTGTGTGTGTGTGTGTGTCTGTGTGTGTATGTTGTATGTTGTGCATGCATGGGCAGGTAGGAATAAAGAGTGCTCCGATGTTTCTGCCCTGAATCACCAACTGTCTGAAGATATTTAAGGATAGCATCAAACTGAATTGTGATGCCCCCCTCAGTCAATCAACACTGCTGTGTTTCACCGTTGAGGCCCACACAAAGCAAGCGGGGAGGAGGGTGGAGAGGTTACTAGAGCTGTTGTTTGGGGTGTTGGCTGTGGAGAAAGTGAGGAATATTGCAGGACAGTGAAATTGAAGAAAGCTCAGGGCCTGCCTCCTGTCAGTGGGAGGATTGAGGTCTCTGTGCAGTGACTCCTGCTGTTTTCCAGGGCCCATTTTACCAAAAAACCTGCTGGTGTTGGTGGCGGTGAACAGCGTCGGCATCAGCTTTGTGGACAAGAGCGAGAAAATCCTTTTGAAATGGTCGTACGCCGAAATTACTGGAATAAACACCAACAGGTAGGTGAGCGGTCAGTGGGTGTTTGTGTCCTGCTCGCTTCAGCCCATTCAATTGCTGTGAATCTCCACGTCGCTATATTGTAGAGCCTCCTTCTCTTTCAATCCCTCTCTGCTGTGCACTGCACTCAACTCCCAGCGGTAACGTCCCCAACCACCAAAACCCGAAACCCCGCAATCCCTCTGCAATCTCTCCTCGCAATCCCTGCTCCTCAATTGCAGTGAGAGTCTGGGCTGAGATGGTAGCATCAGTCGGACTTGGTGGGCCAGCCATAAGTTAACATGTGCCACAGAAACAGGCAAGCGCCACCATTAGTGAGATGGTGCTGTTGTAGTCACGTGACTCAATCATCTCACGACCCAGACTAATGCTCTGGGGACCTTGGCATCTGGTGGCATTTCAATTTCATTAATTAGTGGATTTAGAATTGAAAGCCAATCTAATGGTGACCATGAAATTGTCACTAGGCAGTAGTGGTACTATCGCTGGATTATTAACGCCTGGTAATGTTCTGGGGACTTGGGTTCAAATCCCACTGTGCCAGGTGGTCAACTTTGAATGCAATAAAAATCTAGAATTAAAGGTCTAACGATGACCATGAAACCATTGTCAAATGTCATCAAAACCCATGTAATGTTTCTTAGGGAAGGAAATCTACTGTCCTTACCCGGTCTGGCCTACACGTGACTCTAGACCAATAGCAATTTGGTCGATTCTTAACTGCCCTCTGAAATGGTCCAAACCAGCCACTCAGTTCAAGGGCAGATGGGCCTGGGTGACAGATTCAATGATGCCCATATTCCACAAAATAATGTTAATTTTAAAAAGACTCAGTTGAACCCTGTAGCCAGGTCAAAGGGTTTGAGAGCTATCAGGCCCTGTTGAAGAAGCCAGGTGGTGGATTCTGAGCGGATGGAGGTTGGTTTTTGGAAACTCGATTGAGATGATGGCAAGTTGGATGAGTATGTCATGACATGTTGCAGAGAGCAAGGCAGTGGTCAGAGTCTGAAGGGAGCTGGCTGCAAGTATATAGAGATTAGGGAGCAGAATGGAGATGGAACTGAACATTGAGGGGAGGTTGGCAAACATGGTGCCAAGATGGCTTAGTCTGGTTGACCACGAAGTGGGCTAGAAACAAGGTGGAAGGAACATCCGAGGCTTTATTGTGGTAATATATCAACGGAGTGAGCGCTGATTGAGAAATTCCTGCTTATCATCCGAACATCTGAGCATAGCATTCAGGAATGGGAGTAGCCCATTCAGACCCTTGAGCCTGTTCTGCCCCATTCAATCAGATCATGGCTGAATGGGAGCTGGTTTGTGTACTATCAGGCAGATTGTCCTTTGATGTTTGCATTCATTCTGCCTGCTGATGTGTGCTGTCCACTACAGGGCTTCAAAGCTGTACGGCCAGAGCGTGACAGTGACCACCCTGCAGGGCCAGGAATACACACTGACCAGCAGGCATGCTGCTGAAATAGCTGACCTGATTGTTCTGTTTCTGAATGGCCTGAAGAGGAGGTCGGAGTATGCGATTGCATTACACAGCAGCTCCAGGCAAGGTACGGGAGGTCACTGTCCATGTGTGTTCTCCTCACTCAGACTTCTACAGTCACATATCTTCAATCAGTAATATTTCCCCATTCACCGGGTCTGCCATTAGCAAATTTGCTTCTCCCTCAAAACACACCGTACACCTTTTTGCCTGCTGTGAGTTCATTCTTTGCTTACTTGAGGTCTTTGAGAAAATAAACGCCAGGAAAACGCACTGTTTTGGAGTCAATGGTCACACATGTGCCTCACATGGTTGCTGTTTGCATTGATAAGATTTTCAAGGAATGGACAATTACAAAGGCTGATGGTCCTGAACTCCTGCCTCTGCACGTTCCCCCCTCCCTTACCTGCCTCACTCACAACCCATACTCTCCTGTCCATCGATACTGACCAAATCAGATGACCCAACCCCAAGAGGTGTGAGATCTTCTGCAAAGAATTCAGGTCATGTTCGCCCTCCCTGATGCATTGCATTGTCTGTCGTTCCTCCTCCAGCTCATAACCTTTGAGTCAAAGTTGCTTGAACTTCAAACACTTGCTGCAAATGTTTGCTATGGGTCAAACTGGCATCCAGAAACTCCCACACGCTGCAGTTGTGACACATCAACTGTCCTGCCATCCTCATGTATTCAGTATTGTACTTAATTTCATATTTAGTTATGTTTTTTATACATTTGATTAACCTTTCCACCAGTTTTAAAACTTAGGTGCTTACAGATGCTCACCAAATAACTCATTTCTTCTCCTGTAGCACAGTAAGACTCCATGTCCATTACAATCTCTAGAATCTAAATCAGTCTCTATTGTTATCACTGTAAACTTGCATAACTTCCATTCTAGTCTCTATAATCTAAATCAGTCTCTTCCAGCCTTTATTATCTAACTGTACCTCTATTACAGTCTGTTTGATATAACTATAATATGTGTATAATATAACGCACAGCGTGAGCCTCCAGTGCAACGTTTAATTTGCCACTCACTCTCCCATTCCAGTTGATCCTATATTCCTCAAATATGAGAAGGGTGATTTGATAAAATTGGTGAGAGATAAGGAAATCACTGAAGACAACGGTTGGATTCAAGGACAGAATGAATGCAGTGGGAAGACGGGGAGTCTGCCCCTGTATTCCGTTTATATCATTCCTACCCTTGTGAAGCCTTC